GTTTTTTCCCACTTTTTCCCCGTTTTTTTCCCGATTTTTTTTCCCCGAAGTTTTTTTTCCGGATTTTTTTTTTTTCCCGGATTTTTTTCCCGTTTCTTTCCCTGTTTTTTTTTTAATCAGATTTTTTTCTTCCCGAAGTTTTTTCCCTCTTTTTTTTTCCCAAAAACGCGCTATGGACAATAAATACAGTACAAAATTCCAGCCGGGAATTCCGGGAATTTTCCGGCAATTCCGGGAATTTTCCTCCGGCCCAAAAATCCGGGAACCGACCCCAAAAAATCCCCCCCACCCCCGGGAGTCCGGGAACGACGGGAGGGAAAGGGTTAAAAAACCCCCAAATTTCGGGAAAAAAGGGTTAAAAAACCCAGATTTTGGGAAAAATGGGAGGGAAAGGGTTAAAAACCCCCAAATTTTGGGAAAAAAGAGTTTAAAACACCCAGATTTTGGGAAAAATGGGAGGGAAAGGGTTAAAAACCCCATAAATTTTGGGAAAAAAAAGGTTTTAAAACCGCCAAATTTTGGGAAAAATGGGAGGGAAAGAGTTAAAAATGGGATTTTTGTTTTTTTTTTTTTTGGGGGGGTGAGCCAAAAAAATGGGATTTGGGGATTTAAAATTAAGAATTTTTTGGGGAAAAAAAGGGATTTGGGTTTTTTTCACAATCCTGATCCCCATGGATTTGGGGTTTTTCCATTCCCAATCCCGATGGATTTGGGTTTTTTTCCCAATCCCAATCCCGATGGATTTGGGGTTTTCCCATCCCATTCCCAACGGATTTGGGTTTTTTCCCCATCCCGATCTCGATGGATTTGGGGTTTCCCATCCCATTCCCGATGGATTTGGGGTTTTCTCATTCCCATCCCAATCCCAACGGATTTGGGGTTTCCCATCCCAAGGCCGATCCCACATTCCCCAATTCCCGCTGCTCTCCCCAATCCCGGGGCCGCATTCCCAATCCCATTCCTGGTCTGATCCTGTTCCCAATCCCAATCCCAATCCCAGTCCAATCCCAATCCCATTCCCATTCCTGGTCTGCTCCCAATCCCGTCCCCGATCCCATTTCTGTTCCGGTCCCATTCCCATTCCTCGTCTGATCCCAATCCCAATCCCAATCCTGATCCCGATCCGTTCCCGATCCCATTCCCGTTCTGTTCCCATTCCCGTTCCTGGTCCGATCCCATTCCTGATCCCAATCCCGTTCCCATTCCCAATCCCGGTCTGATCCCAATCCTCATCCTGATCCCATTCCCGTTCCCAATCCCGCTCCATTCCCGATCCCGTTCCATTCCTGGGATCCCGCTCTGCTCCCGCTCCCATTCCCAACCCCAGTCTGATCCCGTTCCTGATCCCAATCCCGTTCCCATTCCCAACCCCGGTCTGATCCCAATCCTGATCTTGATCCCCTCCCTGATCCCGCTCCGTTCCTGATCCCATTCACGTTCTGTTCCCATTCCCAGCCTGAACCCAATCCCGACCCTGCTCCCGTTCCCGATCCCGTTCCATTCCTGGGATCCCGCTCTGCTCCCGCTCCCATTCCCAATCCCAGTCTGATACCAATCCCATTCCCAATCCTGTTCCCGATCCCGTTCCGTTCCCGATCCTGCTCCGTTCCTGGGATCCCGCTCTGCTCCCGTTCCTATTCCCATTCCCGGTCTGCTCCCATTCCTGTTCCCGATCCCAATCCCATTCCCATTCCCGGTCTGATCCTGATCCCGTTCCCGGTCTGCTCCCGTTCCCGATCCCGATCCCGTTCCGTTCCTGGGATCCTGCTCTGCTCCCGCTCCCATTCCCAACCCCAGTCCAATCCCAATCCCATTCCCAATCCCATTCCCAATCCCATTCCCGATCCCGTTCCCGATCCCGCTCCGTTCCCGGTATCCCAGTCCGTTCCCGGTGTCCTGCTTGGATCTCAATCCCATTCCCGGTGTCCCGATCCCAGTCCGTTCCCGGTGTCCCGCTCTGATCCGGCTCTCCCGATCCCGGTGTCCCGGTCAGATCCCGGCGTCCCGTTCCATTCTGGATCCCGGTGTCCCGTTCCCGGTGTCCCGTTCCTGGTCCAATCCCGTTCCTGCTGTCCCGTTCCGATCCCGAATTCCCGGTCAGATCCCGGCGTCCCGGTCAGATCCCGGTGTCCCGTTCCATTCTGGATCCCGGTGTCCCGTTCCCGGTCAGCTCCTGGTATCCCGTTCCCGGTATCCTGTTCCTGGTCAGATCCCGGTCCTGGTACCCCGTTCCCGGTCAGATCCCGGTGTCCCGGTCAGATCCTGATCCTGGTCAGATCCCGGTATCTCTTGTTCCCGGTATCCCATTCCCGGTGTCCCGTTCCCGGTCAGATCCCGGTGTCCCGTTCCCGGTGTCCCGTTCCTGGTGTCCCGGTCAGATCCCGGTGTCCCGTTCCCGGTATCCCGGTGTCAGATCCCGTTCCCGGTCAGATCCCGGTGTCAGATCCCGATCCCGGTGTCAGATCCCGGTGTCAGATCCCGGTGTCAGATCCCAGTGTCAGATCCCGTTCCCGGTGTCAGATCCCGGTGTCAGATCCTTACAGTACAAAATTCCAGCCGGGAATTCCCCCGGGAATTCCGGGAATTCTCCATCCCAAAAAATCCGGGAACCGACCCCGAAACCCCAAAATTCCGGGAACAGCGGGAGGGAAAGGGTTAAAACCCCCAAATTTTGGGAAAAAAAGGGTTGAAAAACCCCTCGAATTTTGGGAAAAAAGGGTTAAAAAAAAGCCCCAAATTTTGGGATAAATGGAGGGAAAGGGTTAAAAATGGGATTTGGGGATTTAAAAGTGAGAATTTTTGGGCAAAAAATGGGATTTTGGGGTTTTCCTAGCCTGATCCCGATGGATTTGGGGTTTCTCATTCCCATCCCAATGAATTTGGGGCTCCAATCCCAATCCCAATCCCGATCCCAATCCCATTCCCAATCCCAATCCCACTGGATTTGGGGTTTTTCCAATTCCCATCCCCATCCCAATGGATTTGGGGTTTCCTATCCTGATCCCAATGAATTTGGGGCTCCAATCCCAATCCCAATCCCGATCCCAATCCCATTCCCAATCCCAATCCCACTGGGTTTGGGGTTTTCCCATCCCAATCCCGACGGATTTGGGGTTTTCCTCATTCCCATTTCCATCCCAATCCTGCTGGATTTGGGGTTTTCCCATCCCAATCCCGACGGATTTGGGGTTTTCCTCATTCCCATTTCCATCCCAATTCCAATTCCAATTCCAATCCCAATCCCACTGGGTTTGGGGTTTTCCCATCCCAATCCCGACAGATTTGGGGTTTTCTCACTCCCATCCCAATGGATTTGGGGTTCCCAATTCCCAATGGATTTGGGGTTTTTCTCATTCCCAATTCCAATCCCAATCCCGATGGATTTGGGGTTTTCCCATCCCAGTCCCAGTGGATTTGGGGTTTTCTCACTCCCACCCCCATCCCGATGGATTTGGGATTTCCCGTTCCCATCCCGACCCCGCTGGACTCCAGGTTCTCCTTGATCCCGGGAAAGCTCCGGAATTCCCACGTTTCCCACATTTCCCTCTCCCAAATTTCCTGTTCCCATCCCGGGGCCGATCCCACGATCCCAAATTCCCGCTGCTCTCCCCAGTCCCGGGGCTGCATTCCCGATCCCGATCTGATCCCAATCCTGGTCTGATCCCATTCCCGGTCTGACCCCATTCCCAATCCCAATCCCGATCCCAAACCCAATCCTGATCCCGATCCCGTTCCCCTTCCTGGTCTGCTCCTGATCCTGTTCCGTTCCTGATCCCATTCCCAATCCCAATCCCGGTCTGATCCCAATCCCATTCCTGGTTTGATCCAAACCCTGTTCCTGATCCGTTCCCATTCCTGGCCTGATCCCAATCCCGATCCCAATCCCATTCCCATTCCCGGTCTGATCCTGATCCCATTCCCATTCCCATTCCCGTTCCTGATCCCATTCCCGTTCCCGTTCCTGATCCCATTCCCGTTCCCGGTCCCGTTCTGTTCCTGGGATCCCGCAATGCTCCCGTTCCCATTCCCAATCCCGGTCTGATCCCAATCCTGATCCTGATCCCGTTCCCATTCCTGGTCTGCTCCCATTCTTGATCCCGTTCCTGATCCTGCTCCGTTCCTGATCCCATTCCCGTTCTGATCCCGTTCCTGATCCCGTTCCATTCCTGGGATCCCGCTCTGCTCCCGTTCCCGTTCCCAATCCCAGTCTGATCCCATTCCTGTTCCCAATCCCGTTCCGTTCCCAATCCCGTTCCGTTCCCAATCCCGTTCCGTTCCCAATCCCGTTCCGTTCCCAATCCCGTTCCGTTCCCAATCCCATCCCCGTTCCCGGTCTCTTCCCAGTATCCCAGCCCGTTCCCGGTGTCCCGCTCTGCTCTGGGTCCCCTGATCCCGATCCCGGCGTCCCGTTCTGTTCCCGGTGTCCCCGTTCCCGGTCCGATCCCAACCCCACTGTCCCGGTCTGCTCTGGGTCTCCCAATCCCGGCGTCCCGGTCCGATCCTGATCCCGGTGTCCCGGTCAGATCCCAGAGTCCCGTTCCGATCCCGGTGTCCCGTTCCCGGTGTCCCGATCCCGGTGTCCCGATCCCGGTGTCCCGTTCCATTCTGGATCCCGGCGTTCCGTTCCTGGTATCCCGTTCCTGGTACCCCGTTCTCGGTCAGATCCCGGTGTCCTGGTCAGATCCCGACCCCGGTCAGATCCTGGTATCTCATTCCCGGTCAGATCCCGGTGTCCCGTTCCCGATATCCCGATCCCGGTCAGATCCTGATCCCGGTGTCAGATCCCGATCCCGGTGTCCTGGTCAGATCCCGTTCCTGGTCAGATCCTGGTATTTCATTCCCGGTATCCCGTTCCCGGTATCCTGATCCCGGTCAGATCCCGTTCCTGGTGTCCCGGTGTCAGATCCCGATCCCGGTGTCCCGGTCAGATCCCGGTGTCCCGTTCCCGGTCAGATCCTGGTATCCCGGTGTCAGATCCCGTTCCCGGTCAGATCCCGGTGTCAGATCCCGATCCCGGGGAAGGCCGCGCCGGCGCTGCCCGGTGCCGGCGCCGGTGCCGGCGCGCCGCGGGGCTGCTGCAGGTTGAGGATGCTGTCGATGGCGCTCTGCAGGTGCTCGCTCAGCGAATCGTCCTGGGGGCTGTCGCTGCTGAACGACGCCTTGTCCACCTCGGCCTCGGCGCGCCGCCGCTTCCCGCCCCACGTCCCGCAGCCTTCGAGGAGGAGGAGGAGGAGGAAGGGGGGAGGGGGGGGGAGCGGGAGGAGGAGGAGGAGGAGGAGGAAGAGGAGACGTATTCGTCTGCAAAAGGAGAAAAGTCGCTAATTAGAGCTCGTTTGCACGTGGGAAAATGCAGGGTCGCTAATTAGAGGTCATTTGCATGTGCAAAAAATCAGGGTCGCTAATTAGAGGTCATTTACAGGTGGAAAAAAGCAGGGTCGCTAATTAGAGCTCGTTTACAGGTGGAAAAATGCAGGGTCGCTAATTAAAGGTCATTTACAGGTGGAAAAAAGCAGGGTCATTAATTAGAGGTCATTTACAGGTGGAAAAAAGCAGGGTCGCTAATTAGAGGTCATTTACAGGTGGAAAAAAGCAGGGTCGCTAATTAGAGTTGATGTGCATGTTAATTAATGGAATTTTCCCCTTTTTTTCCTGCCCAAAATGTCCCTTTTCCCGCGGGATTCGTCCCAAAGATCGAGGCTGCACCGGGACCTTGGGCTGACCCCTGACTGACCCCTTTAACTGACCCTTAATTGACCTTTAATTGACCTTTAATTGATCCCTAATCAACCTTTGATTGACCCTCGGTTTTTCCAGAGGCCTTGGGGTGAATTCCCGGGAATTTGGTGCCAAACCCCAGGAATTCCAGCCCAGACCGCGGGAATCCCACCCCAACACCCTCAGGAATTCTGTCCCCCCATTCCCACCGGGGTTCCCGCCCCATCCCTGGGGATTCCGACCCCGGGATCCCCGGGGGTCTCGGGGGTCCCGGGGGGTGCTCAGGGGGGTCCCGGGGGGTCCCGGGGCTCACCCGCGACTCCTCGAGCAGCAGCAGCCGGTACTTGTTGAGCATGGCCCGCGTGCGGCGCAGGAGCTGCTCCGACACCGCCTCGAACTCCTCGTCCACTGCGGGGGGAAGGCGTTAATTAGCGCGGCTCGTTAGTGGGGGAGCGGGGCGGGATTAACGGGGAATTAATGGGGGATTGATGGGGAATTAATGGGGGATTGATGGGGAATTAATGGGGGATTGATGGGGAATTAACGGGGATTTAATGGGGATTTAATGGGGATTTATTGGGGGATTAATGGGGAATTAATGAGGGTTATTGGGGAATTGGTGGGGAGTTAATGGGGAATTATTGGGGGATTAATGGGGAAGTAATAAGAAATTGATGGGGAATTGATGGGAAATTAATACGGAATTAATGTGGGATTATTGGGGAATTAATGGGGGATTAAAAGGGAATTGGTGGGGGATTAATGGGGATTTAATGGGGAATTATTGGGGGGATTGATGGGGAATTGATGGGGATTAATGGGGAATTAATGGGGAATTAATGTGGGATTATTGGGGAATTAATGGGGGATTATTGGGGAATTAATGGGCAATTTTTTGGGAATTAATGGTGAAGTAACGAGGAATTATTGGGGGATTGATGGGGAATTAATGGGGGATTAATGGGGAAGTAATGGGGGATTAACAGGGAATTGGAGGGGGATTAATAGGGATTTAATGGGGGATTAATGGGGGATTAATGGGGAATTAATGGGGGATTATTGGGGGAATTGGTGGGGGATTAATGGGGAATTAACAGGGAATTGATGGGGAATTAATGAGGTATTAATGGGGAATGGATGGGGAATTAACGGGGAATTAATGGGGAATTAATGGGGAAGTAATAGGAAATTGATGGGGAATTGATGGCGAATTAATAGGGAATTATTGGGGTATTGATGGGGATTAATGGGGAATTGATGAGGAATTAATGGGGGATTGATGAGGAATTAACAGGGGATTAATGGGGCACTGATGAGGAATTAATGGGGGATTGATGGGGAATTGTTGGGGGATTGATGGGAAATGAATTACAAACTAATGCGGAATTAATTGATATTCCAACTATCACGGCATTCCTGGCTAATGAGACATTCCCGATATCGCGACTATCGCGACTATCGCGACATACCGCGCTGGCACTCGCTCTCCCCCGGCAGCACGCCCTGGCAGACGTGGTGGGGCAGCACCGATCCCCCAGTAACCCCAGTAACCCCAGTAACCCCAGTAACCCCAGTAACCCCAATAACCCCATTATCCCAAACTCCCCGATATCGCGACTATCGCGACATACCGCACTGGCACTCTGTTTCCCCGGGCAGCACGCCCTGGCAGACGTGGTGGGGCAGCACCAATGCCCCAGTAACCCCAGTAACCCCAGTAACCCCAATAACCCCAATACCCCAATATCCCACTATCGTGACTATCGCGACTATCGCGACATACCGCACTGGCACTCTGTTTCCCCGGGCAGCACGCCCTGGCAGACGTGGTGGGGCAGCACCAATGCCCCAGTAACCCCAGTAACCCCAGTAACCCCAATAACCCCATTATCCCAAACTCCCCGATATCGCGACTATCGCGACATACCGCACTGGCACTCTGTTTCCCCGGGCAGCACGCCCTGGCAGACGTGGTGGGGCAGCACCAATGCCCCAGTAACCCCAGTAACCCCAGTAACCCCAATGTCCCCAATAACCCCAATAACCCCAATATCCCACTATTGCGACTATCGCGACTATCGCGACATACCGCGCTGGCACTCCGTTTCCCCCGGCAGCACGCCCTGGTAGACGTGGTGGGGCAGCACCGATCCCCCAGTAACCCCAGTAACCCCAGTAACCCCAGTAACCCCATTATCCCAATATCGCGACTATCGCGACATGCCCTCACCGCGCTGGCACTCGCTCTCGCCGGGCAGCACGCCCTGGTAGACGTGGTAGGGCAGCAGGCGCCGCAGCGCGTCGCCCAGCGAGCGGAAGGGGCTGCGCAGCTCCGGGTGCAGCACCGCGCCCTGGTGCTTGTGCAGCTGCTCCAGGAGGCTGCAACGGGGCAGAAACGCGCGGGTTCGGGCAAGTCCCGACGGAAACCGGCGGTTTTGGGAGAAACAGGGACAGAAATTCACATTTTTGGGAGAAACGGGGACAGAAATCCACATTTTTGGGAGAAACAGGGACAAAAATCCACATTTTTGGGAGAAATGGGGACAGAAATCCACATTTTTGGGAGAAATGGGGACAGAAATCCACATTTTTGGGAGAAATAGGGACAGAAATCCACATTTTTGGGAGAAACGGGGACAGAAACCCACATTTTTGGGAGAAATAGGGACAGAAATCCACATTTTTGGGAGAAATAGGGACAAAAATCCACATTTTTGGGAGAAATGGGGACAGAAATCCACATTTTTGGGAGAAATGAGGACAGAAATCCACATTTTTGGGAGAAATAGGGACAGAAATCCACATTTTTGGGAGAAACAGGGACAGAAATCCACATTTTTGGGGCAAACAGAAACAGAAATCCACATTTTTGGGAGAAACAGGGACAGAAATCCACATTTTTGGGAGAAATAGGGACAGAAACCCACATTTTTGGGAGAAATAGGGACAAAAATCCACATTTTTGGGAGAAATAGGGACAGAAATCCACACTGCTGGGGTGGTTATGGAGGGAAACTCGCGGTTTTGGGAGAAAAATGGACAGAAATCCACGTTTTTGGGGCAAATATGGACAGAAATTCACTTTTCTGGGAGAAATATGGACAGAAATCCACATTTTTGGGGTGGTTATGGACAGAAATCCACATTTTTGGGGTGGTTATGGACGAAAATCCACATTTTTGGGGCAAATACGGACGGAAATCCACAGGTCTGGGATGGTTATGGACAGAAATCCACACTTCAAGGGTGATTATGGCCGAAAATCCACATTTTTTTGGCAAAAACTGACAGAAATCCACATTTTTGGTAAAATATGGACAAAAATCCACATTTCTGGGGTGGTTATGGACAGAAATCCACATTTTTGGGGCTAATACGGACGGAAATCCACATTTTTGGTAAAATATGGACAGAAATCCACATTTCTGGGGTGGTTATGGACAGAAATCCCCAGTTTTGGCACAAACATGGACAAAACTCCTCATTTTTGGCACAGAAATCTCCATTTCTGGCACAAATACGGACAGGACTCCCCACCCCAGCGGGAATTCCCAGCGTTCCCACTCTGTCCCAGTCCATCCCAGTCAGTTCCCAGTTTGTCCCAGTCTGTCCCAGTCCATCCCAGTCAGTTCCCAGTTCATCCCAGTCTGTCCCAGCTTATCCCAGTCCCCCCCAGTCTGTCCCAGTTCCCGGGAATTCGGGCAATTCCCAAAAATCTGGGGCGAAATCTTGGGATTTCGGGCAATTCCCAGGATTTGGGGAGAATTCCCGGGAATTCGGGCAATTCCCACCATTTGGGGAGAATTCCCAGATTTTGAGGAAAATTCCGGGGTTTTTTAGGGTCAATTCCCAGGAATTTGGGGAGAATTCCCGGGATTTTGGGGAGAACTCCCAGATTTGGGGTAAATTCCTGGGATTTTGGGGGAGAACTCCCGGAATTTGGGCAATTCCCAGGATTTTGGGGGGAATTCCCGGGATTTTGGGCAATTCCCAAGAATTTGGGGTGAAATCCTAGAATTCTGGGGCAAATTCCAGGGATTTTCGGGCAGATTCTGAGGATTTTGGGGAGAATTCCCAGGATTTGGGAAGAATTCCTGGGATTTTGGGGTAGTTTCTCAGGATTGTGGGGTGAATTCCCAGATTTTCGGGTGAATTTTGGGGTGAATTTCCAGGTTTTGGGTGAACTCCCAGATTTTGGGGTGAATTCAGGGGATTTTGGGGTGAATTCGGGGGATTTTGGGGTGAATTCCGAGGATTTTGGGGCGAATTCCCAGATTTTGGGTGAACTCCCAGATTTTGGGGTGAATTCGGGGGATTTTGGGGTGAATTTCCAGGATTTTGGGGTGAATTCCCAGATTTTGGGGTGCATTTCCAGGATTTTGGGGTGAATTCCGAGGATTTTGGGGTGAATTCCCAGATTTTGGGCAATTCCCAGATTTTGGGTGAACTCCCAGATTTTGGGGTGAATTCGGGGGATTTTGGGGGATTTTGGGGGGAATTTCCAGACTTTGGGGTGAATTCCCAGATTTTGGGGGGAATTCCCAGATTTTGGGCAATTCCCAGATTTTGGGGTGAATTTGGGGGATTTTGGAGTGAATTTCCAGGATTTTGGGGGGAATTCCGAGGATTTTGGGGTGAATTCCCAGATTTTGGGCAATTCCCAGATTTTGGGGTGAATTCGGGGGATTTTGGGACTCACCGTGGGCGGGGCCTGGGGGCCTTTCCCGCCCCCCGAGGGCTGGGGGGGGCCCTTGAGCCCGGGCGGCTTCGCCTGCGGAGAAACGGGGGAAAATCCGGAAAAATTGGGAAAAATTGGGAAAAACGGGAAAAGATTGGGAAAAAAATTGGGAAAATGGGGAAAAATGGGGAAAAATGGGAGAAAAAAGAGAAAGAATTGAGAAAAATGAGGAAAAATTGGGGAAAACAGGAAAAAAATGGGAAAAAATTGGGAAAAATCCGGAAAAATTGGGAAAAAGTTGGGAAAAACGGGAAAAGATTGGGAAAAAAATTGGGAAAATGGGGAAAAATGGGAGAAAAGAGAGAAAGAATTGAGAAAAATGAGGAAAAATCGGGGAAAACAGGAAAAAAATGGGAAAAAATTGGGAAAAATCAGGAAAAATCGGGAAAAATTGGAGAAAAAGGGGAAAGAATTGAGAAAAATGGGATAAAAATTGGGGAAAATGAGAAAAAATTGGGAAAACCAGGAAAAATCGGGAAAAGTCAGGAAAAATGGGAAAAATTGCAAAAAAATTGGAGAAAAAAGGGAAATAATTGAGAAAAATGGGAAAGAATTTTGGGGAAAATGGGAAAAAATTGGGAAGAAATCAGGAAAAAAGTGGAGGAAAAAGGGAATTGAGAAAAATTAAATGGGAATAAATTGTGAATAAATACTGAATAAATTGTGAATAAATTCTGGATAAAATGGGAATAAATTGGGGAATAAATGGGGAACAAATTCTGAATAAGTTGTGAGTAAATTGTGAATAAATAATGAAATAAATTGGGAATAAACCATGAATAAATAATGAATAAATTGTAGATAAATCATGAATAAATCATGAATAAATAGTGAAAAAATTGGAGAAAAAAGGGAAATAATTGAGAAAAATGGGAAAGAATTTTGGGGAAAATGGGAAAAAATTGGGAAGAAATCAGGAAAAAAGTGGAGGAAAAAGGGAATTGAGAAAAATTAAATGGGAATAAATTGTGAATAAATACTGAATAAATTGTGAATAAATTCTGGATAAAATGGGAATAAATTGGGGAATAAATGGGGAACAAATTGTGAATAAGTCGTGAATAAATTGTGAATAAATGGGGAGTAAATTGTGAATAAATAATGAAATAAATTGGGAATAAACCATGAATAAATAATGAATAAATTGTAGATAAATCATGAATAAATCATGAATAAATAGTGAATAAATCATGGAAAAATCATGAACAAATTGTAAATAAATCACGAATAAATTGTGAATAAATCACGAATAAATGGTGACTAAATGGTGAATAAATCATGAATAAATGGTGAATAAATTCTGAACAAATTGGGGAATAAATGGGGAATAAATCATGAATAAATGGTGAATAAATAGTGAATAAATTGTAAATAAATTGTAAACAAATGGTGAATAAATTGGGGAATAAATGAGGAATAAATGGTGAATAAATAATGAATAAATTGTGAATAAATAGAGAATAAATCATGAATAAATGGTGAATAAATGGTGAATAAATAATGAATAAATTGTGAATAAATAGAGAATAAATCATGAATAAATGGTGAATAAATTCTGAACAAATTGGGGAATAAATGGGGAATAAATCATGAATAAATGGTGGATAAATGGTGAATAAATAATGAATAAATGGTGAATAAATCGTGAATAAATTGTGAAATAAATTGTGAATAAATCATGAATAAATCATGAATAAGTGATGAATAAGTGGTGACTAAAAGGTGAATAAATGGTGAATAAATTCTAAATAAATGGTGAATAAATCATGGAAAAATCATGAATAAATAATGGAAAAATCATGAATAAATTGTGAATAAATCATGAATAAATGGTGAATAAATGGTGACTAAATTGTGAAATAAATCGTGAATAAATTGTAAATAAATTGTGAATAAATCATGAATAAATGGTGAATAAATGGTGACTAAATTGTGAAATAAATCGTGAATAAATTGGAAATAAATGGTGAATAAATCATGAATAAATGATGAATAAGTGGTTACTAAACAGTGAATAAATGGTAAATAAATAGTGAATAAATCATGAATAAATGGTGACTAAATGGTGAATAAATAATGACTAAATGGTGAATAAATTGTGAAATAAATTGTGAATAAATTGTGAAATAAATTGTGAATAAATCGTGAATAAATAATGAATAAATGATGAATAAGTGATTACTAAACGGTGAATAAATGGTGAATAAATAGCGAATAAATCATGAATAAATGGTGACTAAATAATAAATGGTAAATAAATAGTGAATAAATAATGAATAAATGGTGACTAAACGGTGAATAAATAATGAATAAATGGTGAATAAATTGGGAATAAATTGGGAATAACTTGTGAATAAATTATGGAATAAATGGTGAATAAATTGTGAATAGATCGTGAAATAAACGGTGACTAAACGGGGCCCGGGGCTCACCTGGGCGGGCTGCGCGGGGGGGATGGGCGCTCCCGGTTTCCCCGGAGCCGGAGCCGCTTTCCCGCCGGGAACGGCCCCGGGAACGGCCCCGGGGGCGGCACCGGGGGTGGCTCCGGGGGTGACACCGGGGGTGACACCGGGATTGGCTCCGGAGGTGGCACCGGGATTGGCACCGGGGGCGGCCCCGGGGGCGGCGGAGCCCGAGAACGGCTTCGACTCGGCCGGGACGGCGACGGCGGCACCTGCGGGGATGGAACCGGGAAACTGGGAATGGGGATGGGAAACTGGGAATGGGGGATGGGAAACTGGGAATGGGGGAAACTGGGAATGGGGGATGGGAAACTGGGAATGGGGGAGGGGAAACGGGGAAGGGGGGATGGGAAACTGGGAATGGGGGATGGGAAACTGGGAATGTGGGAATTGGGAATGGGAAACTGGGAATGGGAATGGGAACGGGAATGGGGGAATTGGGAATGGGAAACTGGGAATGGGGGATGGGAAACTGGGAATGGGGGATGGGACTGTGGGAATGGGAAATTGGGAATGGGAATGGGAAACTGGGAATGGGAAACTGGGAATGGGGGATGGGAACAGGAATGGGAAATTGGGAATGGGAATGTGGGAATGGGAACAGGAAATTAGGAATGGGAAACTGGGAATGGGAAATTGGGAATGGGAATGGGAAACTGGGAATGGGAATGGGGGAATGGCAATGGGAAACTGGGAATGGGAAATTTGGAATAGGAATGGGACTGGGAAATTGGGAATGGGAAACTGGGATTGGGGCTGGGAAACTGGGAATGGGAATAGGACTGAGACCAGGAAACTGGGAATGGGACCGGGAAATTGGGAATGGGACCAGGAATGGAACTGGGAATGGGACATGGGAACTGGGAACAGCACCACTGGAATTTGGGGACACTGGGACGGGGGATACTGGGAGTTTGGGATTCTGGGAATTTGGGACACTGGGAGTTCGGGATTCTGGGAGTTTGGGATTTTGGGATTCTGGGAGTTTGGGATTTTGGGATTTCGGGAACCCAAATCCCGTAAGGATGGAACCAAATTCCCTCAGGAACGGCCCCAAAACCCCAAACCCCATCAGGAACGGACCAAAAACCCCAAATCCCGTCAGGAACGGACCAAAAACCCAAATCCCGTAAGGATGGAACCAAATTCCCTCAGGAACGGCCCCAAAACCCCAAACCCCATCAGGAACGGACCAAAAACCCCAAATCCCGTCAGGAACGGACCAAAAACCCAAATCCCGTAAGGATGGAACCAAATTCCCTCAGGAACGGCCCCAAAACCCCAAACCCCATCAGGAACGGACCAAAAACCCCAAATCCCGTCAGGAACGGACCAAAAACCCAAATCCCGTAAGGATGGAACCAAATTCCCTCAGGAACGGCCCCAAAACCCCAAACCCCATCAGGAACGGACCAAAAACCCCAAATCCCGTCAGGAAGGGACCAAAAAACCCAAATCCCGTAAGGATGGAACCAAAAACCCAAATCCCATCAGGAACGGACCAAAAAACCCAAATCCCGTAAGGATGGAACCAAAAACCCCAAATCCCGTAAAGAACGGAACAAAAAAACCCAAATTCCATAAAGAATGGAACAAAAATCCAAATTCCCCTGAAGAACAGCCTTAAAAAATCCCAAATCCAATCCCAGAATTCCCAAAATCCCAAATCCAGAGGGATCCAAACTCTGAATTCCCCAAAAATCCCAAATCCAATCCCTGAATTCCCCAAAAATCCCAAATCCAATCCCGGAATTCCCGAAATCCCAAATCCAGGGGGATCCAGATCTGATGTTTGGGATTCTTGGGAATTCTCAGGATTTCCACTGGGATTTCTGGGATTTTTTTTTTTGGGTTTCCCGGGATTTTTTCGGGAATTCCTGGGACTTACCTGCAGGGAACACCCAGAATATTTGGGATTTTTGGGAATTCCCAGGATTTACCTGCAGGAATCACTCAGGATTTTTTGAGATTTTTGGGAATTCCCGGGATTTACCTGCCGGAATCACTCGGAATATTCGGGATTTTGGGGATTTCCCGGGCGTTACCTGCAGGAATCACTCAGAATATTTGGAGAAGCGCTCGGGATTTTTGGGATTTCAGGGAATTCCCAGGATGTTTTTTGGGATTTCCCGGGCGTTACCTGCTGGAAGCGCTCGGCGCCGCCCTTGGGCGGGCCCGCGAAGGGCGCCGGGACGAGCGCGAAGCTCCGCGGGTGCTCCGGGGGCAGCAGCGCCGGCGCCTTCAGCCCCCCCAGCGGCAGCGGGAACTGGGAGGACTGGGAGGACTGGGAGGGCTCGGGGGGCTCCGGGAAGGAGCCCGGGAAGGGCTCCGAGGGCGGCCGCGGCTGCGACGGGGGGCGCGAGAGCGGCTGCGGCTGCGAGGGGGGGCGGGACGGGATTTGGGACGAAATCGGCGGGATTTGGGGCAGCTGGGAGGGGCCGGGGGGCGGCGGCTCCCCCGGGGACGCTCCCGGCACCTTGGGCTGCAACAGAAGCAGAGGAAGAGCTCGGTTAGTGCGGGAGGAAGGCGCACAAAGCGGGGGGAAACGGGAACTCCCGGCTGGGGAGACCCCAAAAACCCAAATCTTGCGTTTTTTGGGGGGGATTTAGGGAGGGTGGGGCTGGGGAATTCATTTCAGGGCGGATCCAGGAGTGGAATATCCCGGGAAAAAAAATTTGGGGAGGGTCCTGAGCTGCTCCCAGACGCCGATTCCATCCCGAATTTGGGTTTTGGGGAGGGGGGAGAGGGGGAAACTGAGGCAGGATCCAGCCGGGCGCTCCCAGAGCGGCTCCAGGAGCAGAAAATCCCCGGGAAAAACAACCCCGGGACCCCGATTCCGCCCCAAATCCGAATTTTGAGGCGTTTTTGGGGCAAGTTCCGGGGGTTTTGGGGTGAATTTTGAGGGTTTTGGGGCAACATTTGAGGTGAATTCTAAGATTTGGGGTGAATTTTGGGGATTTTGGGGTGAATTCTCAGATTTCGAGCCAATTCTGGGGGATTTGGGGCAACTTCTGGGGGGATTTGAGGCGAATTTGCTGGGAAAAACCCCAAAAACCCAAATCTTGCGTTTTTTGGGGAATTTAGGGAGGGTGGGGCTGGGGAATTCATTTCAGGGCGGATCCAGGAGTGGAATATCCCGGGAAAAAAATTTGGGGAGGGTCCTGAGCTGCTCCCAGACGCCGATTCCATCCCGAATTTGGGTTTTGGGGAGGGGGGAGAGGGGGAAACTGAGGCAGGATCCAGCCGGGCGCTCCCAGAGCGGCTCCAGGAGCAGAAAATCCCCGGGAAAAACAACCCCGGGACCCCGATTCCGCCCCAAATCCGAATTCTGAGGCGTTTTTGGGAGGCAGGAATGGGGAAAATCCACCCTGAGAATTCCCAACCCACCCCGGGACCCCGATTCCGCCCCAAATCTGAATTTTGAGGCGTTTTTGGGGCAAATTCCAGGGGTTTTGGGGCAAAATTTGAGGTGAATTCTCAGATTTTGGGTAAATTTTCGGGATTTTTGGGGTGAATTCTCAGATTTTGAGCCAATTCTGGGGGATTTGGGGCAAATTCTGGGGGGATTTGAGGCGAATTCCAGGAGTTTTGGGGCCAATTCTCAGATTTCGGGTGAATTTTGAGGGTTTTGGAGCCAATTCCGGGGATTTTGGGATGAATTTTGAGGATTTTGGTGCGAATTCTGGAATTTTGGGGTGAATTTCGCAGATTTTGGGATTAATTCTCAGATTTGTGCCAATTTTAAGGGTTTTAGGGCAAATTCTGAGAACTTTGGGGTGAATCTTCAGATTTGGGGGTGAATTCCAAGAGTTTTTAAGGCGAATTTTAGGGATTTTTGGGTGAATTCCTGGGATTTTGGGGCAAATTTTGGAGGTTTTGGGGTGAATTTTGGAGGTTTTGGGGCGAATTCTGGGATTTTGGGGTGAATCCTGGGATTTTTGGGTGAATTCCGGGGGTTTTGGGTGCACAGGAGAGGCAGCAGCAGCGTCGGGGGTTAGTGAGCGCCAAGCCAGCGGAGCAGCCGGAAAAACGGGGCAAGAATTTGGGATTTTGGGCAAAAAGGGCTGGAAAAGGCCGGGATTGGAGGAATTCCAGGAAATCCGGGGGGAATTTGGGGGAAATCCAGCGGGAAAAAGGGATCCGCTCCCAGATCCCAAATTTGCACCCCTGGATCCCAAATTTCCAAGCCTGGATCCCAAATTTCTGCTCCTAGATCTTGGTTTTCCATGGCTGGATCCCGGATTTCAGTGGATGGATCCCAATTTTCCATGGCTGGATCCCAATTTTCCAACCTTGGATCCCAAATTTTCAAGCCTGGATCCCAATTTCCTGCCCCTAGATCCCCGATTTTCCAACCTGGATCCCATTTTTCCATGGCTGGATCCCAACTTTCTGCCCCTGGATCCCAAATTTCCAAGCCTGGATCCCAATTTTCCACCCCGGGATCCCAAATTTCTGTCCCTGGAATTCCCAGAATCCTGGAAATCCCAAAATCTTGGAAATCCTCGAATCCAAGGAATCCTAAAATCCTGGAAATCCAAGAAATCCAGGAAATCCCAAAATCCTGGAACTCCTCGCACCCTGGAAATTCCCAAATCCAAGAAACCCCAGAACGCTGGAAATCCCAAATCTTGGAAATCCTCAAATCCAACAAATCCCAGAATCCTGGAAACCCTGAAATCCCGGCAATCCCAAAATCTAAAGAACCCCCAAATCCCACCACGCCAAAAAATCCTCAAAAAAACCCCCCAAAAATCCCAAAAAACACCCAAAAAATCCCCCCAAACCCACCCAAAAATCCTATAAAATCCCAAAAAACCCCATAAAACTCCCCAAAAATCCCAAAAAAACCCAAGAATCCCAAAAAAAAAAAAAATTCCCAAAAAAATCACCAAAAATCCTCCAAAAATCCTGCAAAAATCCCAAAAAAATCCCCCCAAAAATCCTCCAAAAATCCTCAAAAAACCCCCAAAAAATCGCAAAAGACCCCCAAGAATCCCAAAAAAATCACCAAAAAACCCCAAAAAATCCCCCAAAAAATCCGATAAAATCCCAAAAAAACCCCCAAAAAATCTGTTTGCGAGCGTTGGCGGGGAGCAACGCGGGGCTGCTTCAACTCTGGGAGTTTTAATCCCGGTTTTAAAGAGGATTTTCCATGGCAGCTCCCAGGCCCGCCTGGGAACTCGGGCTGAAAAATGGGGGGAAATCGGTGCAAAATCCTCCTCCAAGGCCAGCCCGGCCTGGCCGGGCCGCGGGGCCGAGGCTGCGGCTGCCGGAGGGGGCAGGAGGTGCCGGGGGAGGGGGGTTGGAGCCTTTTTGCATTTCAAAGCCCTCTGCTCTCACCTTGCCTGCAGCCCTTTTCACGCCCACGTTGGCCGGCAGCGCCGAGAGCGGCTGCGGCAGCGGCACGGCCGAGGCGCCGGCCAGCTGGCCCGGCAGCAGGAACTGGTTCTGGCCCTGGAAGGGCTGCGCCGGGATGACGATGGAGCCGCCCTGGTTGAGCACGTGCACGCTCATGGACTTGCCCAGCGCCGGCGGCTGCGGCGGCGGCGGCTTGAAGACGCCGGGGGGGAAGCCCTGCAGCACCACGTTGGGCGCGGCTTTGCCGGCCATGAAGGTCAGGTTCTGCTGCGCCTTGGCCGGCGCCTCGCCGGGCAGCGCCAGCGCGGCGGCGCCGGCGGCGCCGGCGAAGGGTTTCGGCGTGATCTGGTAGAGCTTCTGCTGCAGCACGCCGGCCGGCTTGGGCTGGATGGGCGTGGGCGTGCGGTGGATGATGACGTTGGGCGCCGGCACCAAGGAGCCGCCCAGCCCCGAGGTGACGGTGAGCGGCTGCGCCGACGCCGCCGACACGCCGCCGAACACCGAGCTGCCGTTCAGCGTGGTGGTGGCCACGGCCGGGAGGCTCTTCTGGATCACCAGGCCCGCCCCCGGCGCCGCCGCCGCCTCCGGCTGGGCGATGTAGCCGCCCACGGCCGCCACCGGCGCCGGCTTGGCCAGCAGCTGCGGCGCGGCCGGCTGGTTGATGGCCATCACCTGCTGGCCCACCACCTGGATGGGGCCCAGCCCCAGCGCGCCGCCGGGGCTGCCGTTGGGCAGGCCGGGCAGGTTGGGCAGCGGCTGGATGGTGACGTTGCCCAGCCCCACCTGCTGCAGGAAGGGCTGCACGCTGATGGCCTTGTTGACCACGTCGGGCGGCTGCACCAACGCCTGCGGCGCCAGCACGGCCGGCGGCTGCAGCCCCAGCAGGTCGGCGGCGCCGCCCGAGAAGATCTGCGGCGCACCGTCGGCCGCCTGCACCACCGGCTGCAGCGCCGGCAGCTGGAAGGAGCCCAGGTCCAGCTCGGCCTCGGCCTCCAGCGTCTGCTCGGTGATGTTGGCCTCCTGCAGGCTCTGCTGGAGGATGTCGCACGGCTGCTCGGCGCCCGCGCCCGCGCCCGCCGGCGAGCCCAGGATGTCATCCTCCAGGAAGTCCAGGTCCACGCTGGCCGCCGGCTGGCTGGGCTCGGCGCTCAGGGGGTTCCCCGGCGTCTCCTGCCCGTGGAGCTGAGGGAACGGCAAAAGGGGCGGGGTCAGATGGGAGAGATGGGGGGCGGAGCTCAGAGGGGTTTGGGGGAGCCCATGGAGCTCGACAGAACCCAAGGGAGCCCAACGGAGCTCGACAGAACCCAAGGGAGTTCAATGGAACCCAACGGAGCTCGACAGAACCCAAGGGAGCCCAACGGAGCTCAACGGAACCCAATGGAGTTCAATGGAACCCAACGGAGCTCAACGGAACCCAAGGGAGCCCAACGGAGCTCAGTGGAACCGAATGGAGCTCAACGGAACCCAACAGAACCCAATGGAGCTCAACAGCGCTCAATGGAACCCAATGGAGCTCAACGCAGATCAACAGAACCCAATGGAGCCCAATGGAGGCCCACGTTGGCCGGCAGCGCCGAGAGCGGCTGCGGCAGCGGCACGGCCGAGGCGCCGGCCAGCTGGCCCGGCAGCAGGAACTGGTTCTGGCCCTGGAAGGGCTGCGCCGGGATGACGATGGAGCCGCCCTGGTTGAGCACGTGCACGCTCATGGACTTGCCCAGCGCCGGCGGCTGCGGCGGCGGCGGCTTGAAGACGCCGGGGGGGAAGCCCTGCAGCACCACGTTGGGCGCGGCTTTGCCGGCCATGAAGGTCAGGTTCTGCTGCGCCTTGGCCGGCGCCTCGCCGGGCAGCGCCAGCGCGGCGGCGCCGGCGGCGCCGGCGAAGGGTTTCGGCGTGATCTGGTAGAGCTTCTGCTGCAGCACGCCGGCCGGCTTGGGCTGGATGGGCGTGGGCGTGCGGTGGATGATGACGTTGGGCGCCGGCACCAAGGAGCAGCGGCGCCGGCGGCGCCGGCGAAGGGTTTCGGCGTGATCTGGTAGAGCTTCTGCTGCAGCACGCCGGCCGGCTTGGGCTGGATGGGCGTGGGCGTGCGGTGGATGATGACGTTGGGCGCCGGCACCAAGGAGCCGCCCAGCCCCGAGGTGACGGTGAGCGGCTGCGCCGACGCCGCCGACACGCCGCCGAACACCGAGCTGCCGTTCAGCGTGGTGGTGGCCACGGCCGGGAGGCTCTTCTGGATCACCAGGCCCGCCCCCGGCGCCGCCGCCGCCTCCGGCTGGGCGATGTAGCCGCCCACGGCCGCCACCGGCGCCGGCTTGGCCAGCAGCTGCGGCGCGGCCGGCTGGTTGATGGCCATCACCTGCTGGCCCACCACCTGGATGGGGCCCAGCCCCAGCGCGCCGCCGGGGCTGCCGTTGGGCAGGCCGGGCAGGTTGGGCAGCGGCTGGATGGTGACGTTGCCCAGCCCCACCTGCTGCAGGAAGGGCTGCACGCTGATGGCCTTGTTGACCACGTCGGGCGGCTGCACCAACGCCTGCGGCGCCAGCACGGCCGGCGGCTGCAGCCCCAGCAGGTCGGCGGCGCCGCCCGAGAAGATCTGCGGCGCACCGTCGGCCGCCTGCACCACCGGCTGCAGCGCCGGCAGCTGGAAGGAGCCCAGGTCCAGCTCGGCCTCGGCCTCCAGCGTCTGCTCGGTGATGTTGGCCTCCTGCAGGCTCTGCTGGAGGATGTCGCACGGCTGCTCGGCGCCCGCGCCCGCGCCCGCCGGCGAGCCCAGGATGTCATCCTCCAGGAAGTCCAGGTCCACGCTGGCCGCCGGCTGGCTGGGCTCGGCGCTCAGGGGGTTCCCCGGCGTCTCCTGCCCGTGGAGCTGAGGGAACGGCAAAAGGGGCGGGGTCAGATGGGAGAGATGGGGGGCGGAGCTCAGAGGGGTTTGGGGGAGCCCAACGGAGCTCGACAGAACCCAAGGGAGTTCAATGGAACCCAACGGAGCTCAACGGAACTCAAGGGAGCCCAACGGAGCTCAACGGAACCCAATGGAGTTCAATGGAACCCAAGGGAGCTCAACGGAACCCAAGGGAGCCCAACGGAGCTCAGTGGAACCGAATGGAGCTCAACGGAACCCAACAGAACCCAATGGAGCTCAACAGCGCTCAATGGAACCCAATGGAGCTCAACGCAGATCAACAGAACCCAATGGAGCCCAATGGAGATCAACAGAAACCAATGGAGCTCATCAGACAACTTTCTGCCCCTGCGGAACTCAACAGAGCTCAATGGAACCCAACGGAGCTCAATGGAACCCAATGGAGCTCAACAGAGATCAACAGAACTCAATAGAGGTCAATGGAACCCAACAGAACCCAACGGAACTCAACAGAGCTCAATGGAACCCAACGGAGCTCAATGGAACCCAATGGAGCTCAACAGAGATCAACAGAACTCAATAGTCAATAGAGGTCAATGACAGAACCCAACGGAACTCAACAGAGCTCAATGGAACCCAACGGAGCTCAATGGAACCCAATGGAGCTCAACAGAGATCAACAGAACTCAATAGAGGTCAATGGAACCCAACAGAACCCAATGGAACTCAACGGAGATCAACAGAACCCAATGGAGCTCAATGGAACCCAACAGAACCCAATGGAGCTCAACAGAGCTCAATGGAAGCCAAGGGAACCCAACAGAGCTCAACGCAGATCAACAGAACCCAATGGAACCCAAGGGAGCTCAATGGAACCCAATGGAACCCAAAGGAGCTCAATGGAACCCAATGGAACCCAAGGGAACTCAACACAGATCAACAGAACCCAATGGAGATCAATGGAACCCAATGGAGCTCAACAGAGCTCAATGGAACCCAACAGAACCCAATGGAGCTCAACAGAGCTCAATGGAAGCCAAGGGAACCCAACAGAGCTCAACGCAGATCAACAGAACCCAATGGAACCCAAGGGAGCTCAATGGAACCCAATGGAACCCAAAGGAGCTCAATGGAACCCAATGGAACCCAAGGGAACTCAACACAGATCAACAGAACCCAATGGAGATCAATGGAACCCAATGGAGCTCAACAGAGCTCAATGGAACCCAACAGAACCCAACGGAACCCAATGGAGCTCAATGGAACCCAATGAAACCCAACAGCGCTCAACGGAACCCAACAGAACCCAACTGAACTCAATGGAACCCAACAGAACCCAATGGAGCTCAACAGACCACAAAAGAACTCAACAGAGCTCAACACAGATCAACAGAACCCAATGGAACCCAACCGAGGTCAACGGAACTCAACAGAGCCCAACGGAACTCAACAGAACCCAATGGAGCTCAATGGAACCCAACGGAGCTCAACGGAACTCAGTGGAACCAAAAGGAACCCAACGAATCTCAACAGAACACAATGAAGCCCAACTGAGCCAAACAGAACCCAACGGAGCTCAATGAGGTCCAACGGAACCCAACAGAACCCAGTAGAACCCATCAGAGCTCAGAGGGGTTCAGGGAAACCCAACAAAGGTCATTGGAACCCAACGGAGATCAGAGAGATTCAGGGAAACTCAACGGAAGCTCCAAGGAACTCAACAGAACCCAACAAATCTCAACGGAACCCAATGAAACCCAACTGAGCTCAACGGAACCCAACGGAACCCAACGGAACTCAACAGAACCCAAGAGAACCGAACGGAACCCAACAGAGCTCAATGAGATCCAACGGAACCCAACGGAACTCAACGGAACCCAACAGAACCCAAGAGAACCCAATGAAACCCAACTGAGCTCAACGGAACCCAACGGAACCCAACGGAGCTCAATGAGGTCCAACAGAACCCAACGGAACTCAACAGAACCCAAGAGAACCCAATGAAACCCAACTGAGCTCAACGGAATCCAATGGAACTCAACAGAACCCAACTGAGCTCAATGAGATCCAACGGAACCCAAAGGAGCTCAACGGAACCCAATGAAACCCAACAGAGCTCAACGGAATCCAACTGAACCCAACGGAACCCAACTGAGCTCAACAGAACCCAAAAGAACCCAATGGAGCTCAATGAAACCCAACGGAGCTCAATGAGATCCAACGAAACCCAACTGAGCTCAACAGAACCCAACGGAGCTCAACGGAACCCAAGAGAACCCAACGGAACCCAACGGAGCTCAATGAGATCCAACGGAACCCAACGGAGCCCAATGGAACCCAACTGAGCTCAACGGAACCCAAGAGAACCCAACGGAACTCAATGAGATCCAACAGAACCCAACAAAACTCAACTGAACTCAACAGAACCCAACGGAACTCAACGGAACCCAATGGAACCCAACTGAGCTCAACGGAACCCAACGGAGCTCAACGGAACCCAACGAAACTCAACTGAACTCAACAGAACCCAACGGAATCCAACGGAACCCAAGGGCACCCAACGTAACTCAACGGAATCCAACGGAACTCCAGTGAGGTTTTCCGGGAAATCCGAGGGGGTTTTCCCAGGAAATCTGGGGAATTTTCCCCCAAAATCTGGGTGGATTGACCCCCAAAATTCGGGGGGGTTTTCCCGGGAAATCCCGGGACGGTTTTTCCCTGAAATCTGGGGGAATTTTCCCCCAAATTTGGGAGGTTTTCCCCCAAAATGCACGGAAATTTTCCCCCAAATCTGGGAAGTTTTTCCCCGAAATCTGGGGGAATTTTCCCCCAAATCTGGGAAGTTTTACCCCAAAATCCGGGGAATATTTCCCCAAATCTGGGAGGTTTTCCCCCAAAATCCAGGGGAATTTTCCCCCAAATTTGGGAGGTTTTCCACTAAAATCTGAGGAAATTTTTCTTCAAATCTGAGAGGTTTTACCCTAAAAATCCAGGGGAATTTTTCCCCCAAATCTGGGAAGTTTTCCCTCAAAATCCAGGGGAATTTTTCCCCAAAATCCGGGGGAATTTTCCCCAAAATCCCAGGACAGTTTTACCCCAAAATCTGGGGGAATTTTCCCCCAAATCTGGGAATTTTTTCCCCAAAACCCCGAGGGATTTTTCCCTCTTTGTCCAAGCGTGGAAAAGGAGGGAATTCCACCAAAAAAGGGGGGATTTGGGAAAGGAGGGAGCACCTACCCCGGCCCCCTCGAAGAAGGCGCTGGCGGCGTCCCCGGAGTTGTCCAGGAGATCGTCGCTGTCGATCTGCAAGCAGGAACGGCAAAATCACCACCAGTTCCGGGGGAAAACGGGGGGAAAACGGGAAAAATGGGGGGAATGGGGGGAAAAAGGGGGAAAAATGGCGGGGAAATGGGAAAAAATGGAGAAAAATGGGGGGAAAATGGGGAAAAAATGGGGGAAAAGGGGAAAAATGGGCGGAAATGGGGGGGAAATGGGGGGAAAACGGGGAAAAACTGGTGAAAAAAGAGGAATATGGGGAAAAATGGGAAAAAAATGGGGGAAATGGGGAGAAAAATGGGAAAAAATGGGAAAAAAACTGAGAAAAATGGGGGAAAATGCAGCAATGGGGGAAAATGGAGAAAAATGAGAAAAAAATGGAGAAAAAGGGGGGAAAATGGGGAAAAAAGGGGGGGAAATGGGGGGAAAATGAGAAAAAATGGAGAAAATGGGAAAAAATGGGGGAAAATGGGAACAAATGGAGGAAAATGGGAAAAACTGGGCAAAAAGGGGAATATGGGGAAAAATGGGAAAAAATAGAGAAAAGTGGGAAAAAATGGAGAAAAATGGAGGAAAATGGGGGGAAAATGGGGGAAAAATAGGAAAAAATGAGAAAAATGGGGAAAATGGGAGAAAATGGGGAAAAAATGGGGGAAAATGGGGAAAATGGGGAAAAAAGGGGGGAAATGGGGGGGAATGGGAAAACTGGGGAAAAACTGTGGGAAAAAGGGGAATATAGGGGAAAAATGGGAAAAAATAGAGAAAAATGGGAAAAAATGGAGAAAAATGGAGAGAGGAGGGATGGACGGAAAAGGAGATTTTAATGGAAAAAAGGAATTTTTATAGAAAAAAATTGGATTTTTTTGGTGAAAAGATGGGATTTTTTAATGAAAAATGAGTGGTTTTTGGAAAATGGGACTTTTTTATGAAAAAATGGGTTTTTTTTAGGAAAAATGAATTTTTTTTAAGGGAAACTGGGATTTTTTGAGGACAAAATAGAATTTTTTTGATGGAAAAATAGGATTTTTTAAGGAAAAATAGGAATTTTTTGATGAAAAAATAAGACATTTTGGGGAAAATTACAGGAATATGCTGGGGATACTCTGGTGTTACTCCAGGGATACCCCAGGGATACTCCGGGGTTTCCCCGGGGTTACGCCGAGGTCACTGCAAAAATACTTTGAAATTACTCCAGGGATACTCTGAGATCACACCAGGAATACTCTGGGGATACTCCAGGGTTACTCTGCAGTCACTCCAGAAATACTCTGAGGCTACACCAGGGATACTCCGGGGCTGAGCCAAGAATACTCTGGGGATACTCCGAGCCCCATTCACAGCACTCAGCCCCACACTCGGGGATACTCCAGGAGTACTCCTGGCATGCTCCAGGGTTACTCCAGGGTTACTCCAGGGATACTCTGGGGTTTCCCCGGGGTTACGCCGAGGTCACTGCAGGAATACTTCGAGATTACTCCAGGAATACTCTGAGGTCACACCAGGGTTACTCTGGGAATACTCCAGGGCTGGTACAGGGATACTCCAGGGATACTCCAGGGATACTCCAGGGATACTCCAGGAGGTTACACCAGGAATAGTCTGGGAATACTCTGGGGATACCCCAAGGTTACTCTGCGGTTACTCCAGAAATACTCTGAGGTTGCACCAGGGACACTCCAAGGTTACTACAGGAATACTATGGGGATACTCCAGGACTACTCCAGGGTTACTCCACAAATACTCTGGGGATACTCTGGGGATACTCTGAGGTTACACCAGGGATACTCCGGGGATACTCTGAGCCCCATTCACAGCACTCAGCCCCACACTCTGGGGATACTCCAGGAGTACTCCCGGGATACTCCAGGGATACACCGGAGTTATGCCAGGATTACTCCAAGGTTACTCTGAGATTACTCCACAAATACTCTGCGGATACGGCAGGGACACTCCAAGAATACTCTGAGGTTACACCAGGGATACTCCAAGGTTACTACAGGAATACTCTGGGGATACTCTGGGGATACTCCAGGGTTACTCTGGGGTTACTCCACAAATACTCTGGGGATACTCCAGGGATACTCAGGGGATACTCCAGGGTTGCTCAGGGGATACTCCGAGGTTACTCTGAGGTTACTCCGAGCCTCAGCTCCAGCCCCAATCCCGTCCAATCCAGAACCCCCCGGAATTCCCCTCCCCCTCCGCCTCTCGCCGTGCCTCAGTTTCCCCAGAATTCCAAAAACATTCGCTGGGGATACTGTGGTGTTACTCCAGGGATACCCCAAGGATACTCTGGGGATACTCCAGGGATACTCTGGGGTTACCCTGGGGTTACTCCAGGGGTTACTCCAGGGATAATTTGGGAATACTCCAGGGATACTCCGGGGTTACTCCAAGGACATTCCAGGGAGACTCCAGGAATATGCTGGGGATACTCTGGTGTTACTCCAGGGATACCCCAGGGATACTCCGGGGTTTCCCCGGGGTTACGCCGAGGTCACTGCAAAAATACTTTGAAATTACTCCAGGGATACTCTGAGATCACACCAGGAATACTCTGGGGATACTCCAGGGTTACTCTGCAGTCACTCCAGAAATACTCTGAGGCTACACCAGGGATACTCCGGGGCTGAGCCAAGAATACTCCGGGGATACTCCGAGCCCCATTCACAGCACTCAGCCCCACACTCGGGGATACTCCAGGAGTACTCCTGGCATGCTCCAGGGTTACTCCAGGGTTACTCCAGGGATACTCTGGGGTTTCCCCGGGGTTACGCCGAGGTCACTGCAGGAATACTTCGAGATTACTCCAGGAATACTCTGAGGTCACACCAGGGTTACTCTGGGAATACTCCAGGGCTGGTACAGGGATACTCCAGGGATACTCCAGGGATACTCCAGGGATACTCCAGGGATACTCCAGGGATACTCCAGGGATACTCCAGGAGGTTACACCAGGAATAGTCTGGGAATACTCTGGGGATACCCCAAGGTTACTCTGCGGTTACTCCAGAAATACTCTGAGGTTGCACCAGGGACACTCCAAGGTTACTACAGGAATACTATGGGGATACTCCAGGACTACTCCAGGGTTACTCCACAAATACTCTGGGGATACTCTGGGGATACTCTGAGGTTACACCAGGGATACTCCGGGGATACTCTGAGCCCCATTCACAGCACTCAGCCCCACACTCTGGGGATACTCCAGGAGTACTCCCGGGATACTCCAGGGATACACCGGAGTTATGCCAGGATTACTCCAAGGTTACTCTGAGATTACTCCACAAATACTCTGCGGATACGGCAGGGACACTCCAAGAATACTCTGAGGTTACACCAGGGATACTCCAAGGTTACTACAGGAATACTCTGGGGATACTCTGGGGATACTCCAGGGTTACTCTGGGGTTACTCCACAAATACTCTGGGGATACTCCAGGGATACTCAGGGGATACTCCAGGGTTGCTCAGGGGATACTCCGAGGTTACTCTGAGGTTACTCCGAGCCTCAGCTCCAGCCCCAATCCCGTCCAATCCAGAACCCCCCGGAATTCCCCTCCCCCTCCGCCTCTCGCCGTGCCTCAGTTTCCCCAGAATTCCAAAAACATTCCCAGAATTCCAAAAAAAACTCAGAATTCACCAAAAACCTCCAGAATTCACCAAAAAAACCCCGGAATTTCCAAAAAAATCGCCAGAATTCCCAAAAAAACCTCCAGAATTCCCCCCAAAACCCCTCAGAATTCACCAAAAAAACCCCAAAATGTCCAAAAAACATCTCAGAATTCCCAAAAAAACTCCCAAATTCAAAAAAATCCTCCAGAATCCACCAAAAACCCCCCGGAATTCCCAAAAAAAGCCCCGGAATTCCCAGAGCAAGCCCCGGGCAGGAGCAGCCAGCGCCGTTTATTGCACACGGAACCGAGCAGGGAGGGAAACGGGGGAAATTCCCGGGAGTTTGGGGCCAATTCCGGGGATTCGGGGATTTGGGGCCAATTCCCGGGATTTCAGGATTTTGGGAGTTCAGGATTTGGGGCCAATTCCTGGGATTTTGGGGAGAATTCCCGGGATTTCAGGATTTTGGGATTTGGGGAGAATTCCAGGATTTTGGGGTTTTTGGGGAGAATTTGTGGGATTTTGGGATCTGGAGAGAATTTTTGGGATTTGGGGAGAATTCCTGGGATTTAGGGGTTTTGGGAATTTGAGGTTTTGGGAATTTGGGGGGAATTCCCGGGAATTTGGGGCCAAATCCTGGGATTTTGGGGCCAATTTCCAGGATTTTGGGATTTTGGGTTCTGGGGAATTTGGATTTCGGGAATTTTTGGGATTTTTTAGGATTTGGGGATTTGGGGGAATTCAGGATTTTGGGGCCAATTCCCAGGATTTTGGGGGATTTGGGTTTTTCAGAATTTTGGGGGATTTGGGATTTTGGGAATTCAGAATTTTGGAAATTCGGAATTTTGGGATTTTTGAGGATTTTTAGGCCCCGGGAGGGGGGAGGGGAAATCCCAAATCCTGAACCTGAGCGGGAGGGACGGGGGAGGGGAGGCGAGGAAGAGGAGGAGGAAGAAAAGATGGAGAGGAGGAAGAGGAAGAGAAGAAGAGGAAGAGGAAGAAGGGGAGGAAAAAGAGGAAGAGGAGGAGGAGGAGGAAGGGCAGGGGCAGCTCCAGAACTGAACCCCCGAGGATGAAGAAGATGAAGGCGAGGAAGACGAGGATGAAGAGCGGAAGGAAATGAAGGAGAGGAAGATGAGGAGGAGGAGGAGGAAGAGGAGGAGGAAGAGCAGGACAGGCCTGGGGCAGCTCCAGAACTGAACCCCTGAGGATGAGGAGGAAGATGAAGGCGAGGAAGACGAGGATGAAGAGGAAGAAGGGAATGAAGAGGGGAAGGAAATGAAGAAGAGGAAGATGAGGAGGAGGAGGAGGAGGAAGAGAGGGAGGAAGAGGAAGATGAGGAGGAAGAAGAGGAGGAAAAGGAAAAAACGAAAGCCGCGCCGCCGAGGCGCCCCGCAGCCGCGCGGGGCGCTCCGCGAGGGCGCGGGGGGGGTTAACGGGGCTGCCCCCGCTCCGCACCGGGCCCCCCCACCCCCCCACCGGGGAGAGCGAGGGGAGGAATGCATTAGCATAAACCGCGCCCCCGGACAGGCATTAGAATAGACACGCCCCCCGCGCTGGCGCCTCAGCGGGCAAGGGCCCCCCCTCGGGACCGCTCATTAGCATAGACCACGCCCAGTAGGCTGTGAATTAGCATAAACCACGCCCAGTACGGTGTAAATTAGCATAAACCACGCCCAACAGACTGTATATTAGCATAAACAACGCCCAACCGGCTTTATATTAGCATAAATCACGCCTAACACGGTGTAAATTAGCATAAACCACGCCCAACAGAGTGTAAATTAGCATAAACCACGCCCAGAGGATCTATATTAGCATAAACCACGCCTAACACAGGGTTAATTACATAAACCACGCCCAGTATCTGTGAATTAGCATAAACCACGCCCCACACGGTGTAAATTAGCATAAACCACGCCCAGCAGGGTGTTAATTAGCAAAACCACCCCAAGCACAGTGGATATTAGCATAAACCACTCCCTGCACGCTCTGTATTAGCATAAACCACGCCCTGCATGCTTTATATTAGCATAAACCACGCCCCGAGGCGCAGCGCTCCAGCCCTGTGAATCTCATTTACATAAACCACGCCCCATCACAAAACTCCACACGCTTAATTTACATACCCCACGCTGTAAATTACCACAAGCCACGCCCCCAACACTGATCTACGCGCTTCCTAATTTGCATAAACCACGCCCACACGGTTTTTCTTTTTTTCAGTCCTCCCGCCCGCTAGGGGGCGCCGCGGCGGAGCAGCCGCTGCGGCGGGGGGCGCTCCCCGTCACGTGACGCTGCGCGGGGGGGTCACGTGGGACGGCGGCGCGGCCGTCATGGCGGCCATGGCGGCGGAGAAGGAAGCGGAGGCGCAGCGGCTGCTGAGCGAGGCCGAGCGCAAGGTCCGGGGCGCTCAGTCCTTCCTCGGGGGCCTCTTCGGGTGCGTGCGGGCCGCGCGGGACGGGCGGCGGCGCCGGGGAGGCCGCGGGAGGCCGGAGGGGGCGGCGGGGAACGGCGGGGAGGG